TGTTTCAACGAATGCACGATGATTGTCACTATTTTTATTCTATTGTGGCCTCTAGACTGAAAAGGCGAAGGTGAAAACAACCACCCAATAATCTGATCTATTTGTTTCTCAACTGGCAACGCTTTTACCTATATTTTGTTTTTTAAGTAAAATTATCATCTAAATTAGATAAAAGTAGAAAGATTCCGATCATTGACCTGCATTTCCTTGAAGTCTTGGTCTGAAGATGAATTTCAATTTTTTGACATTTCCATGGTATTTCGTCTGTTCAGATATTTAATATGTTTCTACCTTTTATAACATAAATATATATGTGATGTTTAGTGACCGTTAGCCAATGATTATTTGGAAATCGTGAGATGCGGTCTGGTGTGGCGTAGGTTTTAGAAAAACATTTTCTTAATCGTGCATCTTTGCATCGGCTATCAATCAGAGAACATTTTTGTTGAAATGCAGACAACACAAGGCCCTGAAGATGATCTCAATAAAGGTCGAAACGTTGGCATGATAAAGAAGATGTTTTTCTAAATCCTACGTCACACCCGACCGAATTTTACGATCTCCAAATAATAAATATATACATACAAACTTTGAGGAACAATCAAATAAAAGAAGTCCAAAACAGACAGACCAATTTTACATTTATAACCTCATTGATTTCAAAAATAAATGTCTAATTTTATTCAAGCTATTTTAAATAGTAGGGATTCTTTCATCTAGGTAAATTTGAGCTAAACAATGTGCTTCAGCCCTGTTATTTTTCCAATCAGAAAATATTTTCAATTAACCAGTTTGATCCAGAAAGACCCGGTTATCGTACTCACCAGATCTGGATCATGGAGATTAATTTTCCTCTTGAGTTATTAAAAATAAAATGATCGCCTGCAAAGTAAACAACCTTAATTAATTCGTAAGAAATTACATATTGAAACTTTTACGAAAAAATTATGTCTGACAGGTTGTTATTTCTCAGAAACGTCTTAAACCGCTAATAAATATCCCTATTATTGGCATATCTTATATTTTAAATGGTAATTGTATAATATGTATCATGATAATGGTTATTAAAAATACATAACCAACTGTTGGCTATTATCAATTAACACATTAAAATTCATATTACAATATTCAAACATTAAACCACTAATTTACCACTGGCAAGATATACAATCTTACTTTAGTGAGACTGTTCAACGAGAATGTTTGATCACCTTAATGCTTATAAGTAGTAAGTGCAAACTTAGCGTTGTCGGCTCCTAATCTATTATATTCTTTAAAAAATATAGGACTGCTGATCTTAAAACAAAAACAAATTTCTTCTGCTATATCACTTGAAGTATCAGTCTTTTGAGAAATCTGGATTTAGTAATCTAAGTTTAGATGCTACCAAAGCCGTAGATAACCTCAGCCTACTAAACTGACGGACAATTTGACTCAAGAAAGAGATAAACCAATTAATCTTTTTCAGTAAGGTTTTCGTTGAAGTGAAAAAGTGAGTGCCACGAGAGGGATTTGAACCCACGACCTTCGGCTAAATACGCCGCTGCTCTACCACTTGAGCTATCTTGACTTCGACCTACTCGGACACCAACTTCTCATCTCAAGCAACAAACTTTAGAATTTTTCCTCTTTTTGCCATTTTTTCAGATGTCGTGTAATCACGATTCCATTCTCGGCGACATATGAAGTGGCTGTTAGTGAAGTTATATTTCGTTTTACTTATTAAATCCTTTATATTTAGTGGTATGATTGACCAATTTACTTCTTGCAATTAATTAATCTTTTTATGTAAGGTTTCGAATCCTGCTCGTTGCCCTAACATTTTCATTCAACCAAAACCTTATATAAAAAGATCAATTAATTGAAAGAAGTAATTCGGTCAATAAACCACTAACTATAATGGATTTAAAGATATAAACATTCAGAACTGTAAAAAATATTAAGGGAGTGCCGAAGGGGGCACAGTACTTGCAATTCTTACTTAGTAAATTAACGTTTTACCGAAAATGGGTGGTGTAAAAATTTCACCGTTTTTCAAATACTGCAGAATGATACCAAAAGGGCCGAGGTACAAAAAACTTATCATCAGATAAATCCGAATGAAAAATTTAAATTCACGCACAACAGCTGAAATTGGTACTTATAAATGTCACAAATATAAAAAAATAGACCGTATGGACCTATTGTACCAGTTAATTTTCTTGGAATTATTCTAGATAAAAAATGTGGTTTCGACATTACAATTTAAAATAAAGTACTAATGTAAAACCAAGGTATAAAGCATATGTGGACGTATGGATTTAAATATATGATTGTACCAAACTAAGTAAAATAAACACTAATAAAATTTTTCTTAACATGGTCAATGCACCATTGTTCCTAAAGAATACTAGGGAACTTAATTATTTCAGAAATAACGGTGGAAATTTAATGATTTTTCGACAAACACCAGCTCGCTTTCCCCTACTACGAGAGTATGTACTTGATATACTTTGGGACTGGTTGAACTTCTCACGCTAATAAATTACTTTCACTACCCAGCCTTCACGCTCTCTTCCTAGACTACCGGATATTATTTGGGTTGGTTGAACCTTTTTTTTCTTTTTTTACTCTTTCCCCCACCCCGCTGTACCTGAGGAAGACCCCATACCGGCGGACAAACGCTTTAGCTTAATCGAATTTGTATATCTATGGGATTTCAAATAAATAGGATAAAAATACCTCGCAACGATCTTTCCTTCAGGCGAGACCGCTGGACGGTTTTTGAAGGGACCATATTTTCATTTTAGAACCTAAAACGAAAGGTCTTCCCTTGCTGGTTTCCCCTTGCACATTTACTTTTCCTTGGTTTTATTTTCTATCTATTTATATTATTTAAAATTTTCTTACTAAGAAGAGGAAAACAGCCCGGAACCCTAAACCTAAACCTATGTTGAATTATGCATTAAATAAATAAATAACGGTAATAAAACTCTAACAATAATAACAATATTTAGGACTTAATAATTAGAATAAATAGGGACTTGTTCATTTAAGCGTATTTGAGGCAAAGTCTTTTAGTGCTCCAAAAGATTTGATATCACAGACTAGCTTCTGGAGATTAGGCGGACATTCTGCTGAGGTGATGGTCTTTCGCAAACGTTCTCTTTCCGCCTTGAATTTGATACAGCTGAAGAGTTTATGTTCGGCGTCTTCTTCAGTGCTACAAACGGATCATAAAGGGCTTTCTCTTTTCTTATATTTATGAAGATAGCTTGCGAAGTTTCCATGTCCTGATAGCATTTGGGTGGTCCAGTAGTGGGGGTGTAGTCATTTTGCTATTTGTCTTTTTTTTTGGTTTGGGTTAGTTTAACCCCCGAATTCTCGTTAATAACTTATTTTTAATCTCCAGATATCACACCCTTACCAAAGAGTACATGATATTATTTGGGTTTGTTGAAATCCTCTATTCACTTTAACAAATTACATTTCATCCCAACCAAAAACCTTAGATAAAAAGAATAATTAATTGGAATAATTAATATGGTCAATAAGACCACTAAACAAACATGGACCAACACATTACAATCACTCTCTAGACATGATACCATCACCGTAATTTTTATTCGCCAACATCAATCTATCCGTGTAAATTTATGTATCTATGAATTGATACTTATCTTAGTTACTTAATTGCGAGTACAATAAAAAAAACCTTTTACATTTACAGATTTCATCAATCCCAGCGTGTTTTTTTATAAACGATTTTTATTATTATGTTGAATATAATTACTCATTTTCTTAGAAGTTAAATTCACTATTTCAGCAGTGTATAAGCCAAATGACAATTTCTTTTCTAAAAAAATAAAATTTTGAGTTTAGTTCTACTAGAAATCGATTCGTCAGGCGATGTAGTCAGTTTCAATCAGGCCAGGTCAGTTATTTTACCTACCTTAGTACACTGGTTAATTATAATCGTGGACTTTTGATGATATTACAACGTTAATATACGATTACACGCAGATCATTTTACAATTTACATAAATTTGTATAAAATGACAGGATCGGATGGATCAGAGATAAATCAGTCAACGTCAGACAGGTTTATTACAATCTTAGAGCATTCGTTTGTCTAATCGTCAATATGATAATGACCAGATATCATATACTGATTTTTACTGTGCCTATTTGCGTTTTATCACTTCTTCCAACTCATGAAATTGATGTTAAATTTTATTTCAATTGTAGAAAATAATAAAAAATATTGGTCAAATTATTAGATCATAATTATAATCTTTGTTATACGATGACATATTTGATTCCAGACTGATTGTTCGTATATAAGGTAGATGATTTTTTCATCATGATAATTTCAAGGTATAGGAATAATATTTGTCAGAGTACCTGGGTCCTTCATTCAATAAATTGAATAAAGAGATACGTAATGCAAATACAGGCATCTTCTGTTGATTAAACAAATTGCCTTTAATATTTTACTTTAGAAAGCTTCATCATTTTATTATTAATAAGACGTTGACGGTGTTTTATGAATAGTCTGCCGGATGAAGGCAATGGTTGGGGGTTTAACGAACCTAGATCCCCCTACGGCCGCCAGTTTCGCAAAATTGGCTTTTATTTTCCCTCAGGAGAGATTTAGCTTCTAATACCCTCGTTCTAATTTATCCATACATCATTGACTATTAACCTGGCCTGGTTTTTTTTAGCACATAAATTTAATTACCGGCGGTGTCTCAATGCTGTTTTACCTAATGAACTTTCAACCTGAGCTTTTGTTAAAATTTAGAAAAATTAACAAAGTTGCCTTTATTTTGGTCATAAAGTACAGTATGTACAAAGAATTTTGCAACATATCGTTGTATCAATCACCTATTTACAGTTCGGTCAGTTTCAATGATCGCCATTCCTTATCTTTTTACCCTTTATGATTTTCAGCTTATCCCCTTCCCCCATTAAAAAGATATTTTGACTATATTTATAACCTTTTATTTTTTTGTATGCAGGGAGAAGGATGAGAGGGTCGCTGGCAGGAATAGTGGTTCTTTCGCTTTCGCTCTTGGCCCACGCTCAAATGAAAGGACTCCACAGTAAGTAGCTTTTGACTTGACTACAACCACATCCGGACAGCGGGTTCGGAAAAATGCGGACCGTTAAATAGTGATTATTTCCGCGTTTCATTGTGAGATGTAAGCAGGAGAAGTACGGCTAGGAATATGGTCTGTTTACAGTTAAAACTTCCACTTAAGTCCAAATTGTAACTTGACTGGTTATTAGGAAACAAACCCGGGAATATTTAGATGTGATTAATACACATATACACTCAAATTTGAACGCACATAATAAAAGTACGAAATAACCAAAAAAATAAAAATTGCTTGAATTGAAAAGAAATAGGGGATTTTTTTTATTAAGTTCGATGAATATTATTTTCTCTATAAGTAGCAAAAACTAGTTCAAAATGTATGCACGCAATATACATTTTTAAAAAATTATTATTATTATTATTTACTCCATTAGATTTCGTGGTCCGATTGACTAAATAAGTTCTTTCAATTAATATCTCTTTATGTAAGGTATTGGTTGAGATAAATAAGCCGGTGTCACGAGAGGGATTCGAACCCACGATTTTCGGCTAAATACGCCGCTGCTCTACAACGAGCTATCGTGACTTCGATCCACTCCAACTTCCCACCTTTGTCGCCAAGAATCGAATTGATTACACGGCATTTGAAAAATGGGAAAAAGGAGGGAAAATTCGAAAGGTTGTATGTTGAGATGGGGAGTTGGTGTCCGAGTAGATCGAAGTCATGATAGCTCAAGTGGCAGAGCTGCGGCGTATTCAGCCGAAGGTCGTGGGTTCGAATCCCGCTGGTGGCAGGCTTTTTATCTTAACCAATATCTTACATAAAGATTAATTAATTGAAAGAAATTATTATTTACACCTACAACTTTACTTACAACAAGTAAATTTGGTTGTTATTTAGTTATTATTTGACAGCATAATATGATAAAATTAAACTTAGCGGGAGAAGCCACCCACTGGAAGAAGAGAATCTCCAGACTGGGTCAGTGTGAAAACTTGGACGAAAACTTCGGTGTCAAAAAGGGTATTGTGAAATTTAGGAACGTTCTTATAAGGTCGTGAACGGATCGAGTACAAAGATGAGTTTTAATGGCTTTTATTGGAGATGTAGGAGGAGGTTGTTTCATAGGATTTTGGATTAAAGAGACTGGATATGAGATGAATTTGGAATGTTTGGTTGAGCCCCATACTTCCACTCCATCCAATGAGTAAAGGTTGTTTTTTAAATTTAGCTGAGATCGTTGGTCAAGTGTGTTTGAAACGGTAAAAATGTCAGCAGTACATATTGTAAAAACGATCGAGCTAATGATATTTCCTTGGGGGAGTAAAGTTTTTACTTTAATATAGGACAAAAGAGATCGGGGGATAAGGTAAAAGGTACTGGGAAAGAATCTTCTTGAGTACACACAGTAAACCCGGGTGCTGTACCCGGTCAAAGCCTGGGCTACTTCTAGGAAATCAACCGAGCTGTATTCACTCAACAGAAGAGGCAATGTTGTCCACCCCGTTGCACCTGTTGCTCGATGGAGTGAAGTGAGCGAAACCCAAACAGATAAGACGGTAAGGACTTTGCATCCTCAAGAATAGAGATTAATCTTTCAAGCAGTTTTTCAAGGATTTTCGCAAAAGGGGGATAGGAATTAGAAAGTTGGATTGGTTTATTGGTTTGTTACGGGCTGGGATCGTTCTTATTATAGCGTATTTACACTGGATTGGGATATAAGTTGAAGAACTGAGTAGACATATATATATATATATATATATATATATATACACTTATGTATATGTATATATGTATACATATGTTACGGTATATATATACATATATGTATGTATATGTGTGTGTATGTATGTAGGTCGTGTCCTGGAGCTTTATGGAGTAGATTTTGGGTGTCGCACACAATGCTTTAGGTATAGATGACAGTTAAAGTTTTAAAGTTTTAGTAGTTAAGACTTGTACAACAGTCGTCGTGTGCAGGTAGTATTTTTCTGGTGTTGTACCAAAAGATTTACCTTCAGTTGTCCTGTTGTCAGGGAAGAGGTGTACAATGGTGTTTTTAGTCCGTATAGTTTTTTTTTAAGTTTCTCAACTCTATTGAACGATGGTCTAAATGTCTACGGGGTTCTTGGTTCTTTTCCATCTAGCGGTACCCTCTTTAGTGTAGGTCCCGCCTCGGTGCCATAGTTTGGAATATGCCTAAATTATTAATTACTACATACTATTTACTATCCTTTTTAAAAAGATAGTTCCTACTCACAGTAAGTTGTTTTGCAACGATCCGGATTTCGAGCCTTTTAGCTCATCATCAGTTTGAAGGACTTCTACAACCACGTCTCTCGACATGAATTGCCAAAGTGAAACCGCTGATACCTCCGCCAACGCGACGTTCCAATTAGCAGCTGATTTTTTTAATGGCGCTCAATTTGAATGTGCGAAACGCGGAAATTATAACACAAATAAATATTATACTAGTAAATACTTAATATTATTAAATTACTATAAAAATAATAACAACTAAAATAATTAGTTTAATTATTTGGATGTTTGATATTATTTATGTACATATTTAAAATGGGAGGTAGATCAAAATATGTTATATTATTAATGCATTTATCACCATGTTGAATTTTACATTTTTTTAATTTCAAATTTCTCAAACCAACCTAATTCTTTCCCTTTGTTGAAACTATGTAACACTCTTGTATTTAGATTTGAATTGAAATTATGTTTTGTTTCTTTTAGATGGTCCTTAAATTCCGAAAATTTGCTCGATTTAGGCAAGTGTTCTTTTACTCTTGTTTTTATTTCTCTACCGCTTTGTCCTATAAACTTGAACGGAGTATGATTGATTTTATGACAGCTTACGAAAAAAGTTGTCGAACTATTCGATCAAATTTATAACTTTCTTCTCTATACTCTCTACTTTCAATTTGATTTCATTTAAATGGCCGATCGGCGAGATTTTTGTTTGATCTGACTTAAGTTGACAGAGTCATAAGATTTCAACATAATTTGAAAAACGTACCATGAGAGACCGAAAAAGCGCGCTAATTGGCAAGAGAAAGTAAAGAATTATAAAATTGTCAAGTTTCACCTTTTAAAGAAAAGTTATGTTATGTTTGCATGTACTATTTCATTTTTATGTTATTCAATAGTGGCACTGCCTAGTCGAACTGGATAAGAAAATAAGGACAAAAGAGCATAAAGAGAATGATCAGTAATAATACATTTATTTGTTTCGACAGTACACATTTTGTGGAATGTTTAAAAAAAAGTTTAAAGTTTGCTAATAATACCAACCGCTAGTGTATCGCTTGTTGTTTTGTTTATCCATCCTTTTTTATAAGAAGTTTCTAAATGACATTTAAAGTCATACATAAAAGGACAAGTTGTGGTCGGTTTGTATTAGATTTATTACCACCTTATTTGACGACTAAACAGACCTGTAGGGAGTGAAAGCGTACTAATTGACAGGGAGAAGGAATGACACTGAGGAAGTCGGGCTTCATGAACAGCGAGAAATCGCGTTATTTACAATCGGATCGCTTCCAATCGAGAATGAAAGGTTAGTCGGTTAACCCTTAGACAAGATAATTATTGACGATCGTTTTTCTCTCTTTTTTCAAATCGGCTGTTTACAGCGTAATCCATGGTCGGTAGTGATGATGATCGATTGTATGTTTTTATATTGATATGAACTTGTAAGTTGTAAAAGGAGTTACCACGACATACTTCTTTTTAAATATCCTTTGTATTAGTTTTCATTGGAATAAAAAAAACGTAGATTACAATCTTAGATATTGTTTATATTTAAATAATCAATATTGATGCTATGTCAGATTTTAACTAAATTAACAGAGTGCCATGTACTCCATAACATTTTAATTTACCAACCAAAATAAAACGCCTGATAGTATGTTATGCCTTTGTCTTTTCTTAAAAAAAAGTATTTTTTAAAAATTTGGAAAATGGGAGCCATCGATATTGTTTTAGAAGAAAAACAGATAACTAATAACATTTCTCATAATTAATCTTTATGTAAGGTCTTGGTTGAGATAAAAAAGTCAGTGTCACGAGCGGGATTCGAACCCACGACCTTCGGCTAAATACGCCGCTACTCTACCGCTTTGAGCTATTGTGACTTCGATCCACTCGAACACTAAAACTCCTAACCTACAACCTTCCAAATTTTTCCTCTTTTTTGCCATTTTTCAAATGTCGTGTAATCAGGATACGATTCACGGCGTCATATGAAGTGGCCACGGGGAGCTTTTAGTGAAGATATACTTCATTTTACTTATTAAATCCGTAATATTTAGTGGTCTATTAACCTATTAACTTTTTTCAATTAATTAATCTTCATGCAAGGTATTGTTTGAGATAAAAACGTCAGTGTCACGAGCGGGATTCGAACCCATGACCTTCGGCTAAATACCCCGCTACTCGACCACTTGTGCTATCGTGACTTTGATCCACTCAGACTGAAAAAAACAGATTAAAAATGGCAAAAAGGAGGGAAAATTCGAAAGGTGGGTCGAGGTGCGAAGTTAGTAGTAGTGTAAGCCGAAGGTCGTGGGTTCGAATTCCGCTCGTGACATTGACTTTTTTATCTCAACCAATACCTTGCACAAAGATTAATTAATTGAAAAAAGTTAATTGGTCAATCGGACCACGAACTCTAATGGATTTCTCATATTGACCTGTGTGTCCCTATTACAGCGACCGTCAGAACCCTTCAAATATTGATTTTTCAATTAGGAGCACAACAAACAAAATGTATATTTATTTTCTCATTACCTGATTATGAGACGATTCAAAATTACCCTGTATTATGCAAACAATCTACTTCTCAGTTCACCAAACAGTAATTCCGGAGTGAGAAGATGCCCGCTGGGGCACGTGAAACCGAAATATTCAATGGCAAATGGCAGCTGACGAGGGTTGAGAATTTCTACGACCTGTTCATTGAGTCTCACACTCCCGATGGCGATTTGGTCCAGTCA